ATGTGTTGTAAAATGCCAAGAAACGACTCTCTGCTCTGAAGCTCTTAAATAGGGGGCGTAGTTCTCCAGCTGGCCGTCGATCGGATGCTCTTGCCGGGTGTTTCCTTATGAAAGGATGCTGACGTCATGACCTGTAGACTGTCAGGAGCGATCGTTATGACTGAGTTTGTGTGAACAAAGGGAAGGAAAGAGGGGCAGCCATCCCCGCGCTTGCAAACGTGTAGCACATTTCCGGAAATCCATTGACGTATCAGCGCAGCTGAGTGGATGAATCGCGATCGCAAGTATTCGTACGTCAAAAAGAACAAGCTTCGTGCCAAGAATTTCGTTGTTTTGTTCAGTGCTTCTTTGGAGCGCCCCTCTCTTTTTGCCAAGGCAAAACAGGCCGTGCCAAATGTCTAATTCTGGCACTTACACGCAGACCCGCTTTAACAAGGCATGGCTTATGCATCTATCCGTACCTTCCGCCGCATGTCGTCACCATCCGTCCATATCGACCACCTTCCCCTTTAGCGTTGACCAGCTCCGGCTTCGCTCTCTGTATTCCTTTCTCCCTATTTGCCTGTTTGTCCTTTACCCATTCCCCTTTGCCTTGCCTTACAGCTTGCATGCTTTCGACCCGCACGAAGTCATCGTGTGCACATACCGCAGCTTGCCCCTTTCCAGCCGCAGCTCGTGGCTGTCGGACGCGTTCATCATGTGCTCCCACACGCAAAATACACTCACAGACCCCATGGACTCGTCAATGACATAGCGTCGGCGTGTGTTGGGCGCCTGCTTGTGGTTCGACGGAATGCCCGCCTTGCACGAGTCGTCCGGCCGGTTGTGGCCCGTGTATGCAGAGCCCTCGAGGCGCGTGCACGGCGTGCCCCAAGGGACGGCCTCAGAGGCCGTGGCGTTGCTCCACATGTCGAGATAGGCGTCGGCCGCCGCCTGCAGCACGACACGAGTGTCGCGGGCACGCTCGGGCAGGATGACGGACCAGTTCTCCTGAAGCACGTGTTGCAGCGTCTTCTTTGCGTCAAATAACCAGGCGCCAGTCGTTGTCACAATCGAGTCGACGAGCACCACCTTCTGGGGCTCCAATGGGTCCGTCGCATGGTGAATCTGCGTCCCGATGACGTACGGGTTGGCGGGGTCGGCGGCCGAGATGAGCTCCGTGTAGGTCGCACAGGCCGTCAAGTCAAAGTTCGTGCGGCGGTGGTCGACCTTGAGCGCCTTGGCCAGGATAATGCCGGGTGCTGAACGGGACGTGGCGATACTCACGGCTTGGTTGTTCTCCTGGTAGGTCCAGTTGGCAGCTGTGACGGCCAGGAGGGGGGCAAGCTGGCCGGCCGTTTGGGCGGCGATGTACGCGTCGGCCGCCTCAGCGAGCGTAGTTTGGTTACAAATGACCGCCTGGGCTGCGGCTTCGAGGGCAAACAAAAACAGCCATTTCATGTTGAAAAACGTTCGATTTTGTGAATCAAAGGTAAAGTCTTGTTTTTGAGTTGTTGGCTAACCTGGTTATATTAGGTTGAAGACCAAGATATAAAAGCCGGCGCGGGTATGCTCTTTTTATTCCCATAGGTCAAGAATAGACTGTGCGGAGAAACGGATGAATTGCCGCTGGTCCAAGGCTGCTCGCCGCGCCATCATCTATCCGCCATAGTGAGCGGACAACGCGACAGCTTTCGGCAAGTGACGGCCAAGACTCTCGTCGGAATTCATGTAGCATTTATCGTGGGGCTCGCACTTGGAAGACAGCCTCTTATGCATCAGGACCACAGTCCACAGTTCTGGATAAAACAATATCAGTTTGTGCCCCTGGAAAGACACCAACTTATGCCACTCGTCCATGTTCCGTCACGTCGGTCTTATGGTCTTATATACAGTTCTAGCCAATCCAGCTGTCCTATTTATTCGATCCATACCTACGACGCGGTATAGCCACCGTCGACAGTCCAGTTGTACATCATCCTCCACGCCACTACAGACCCAGAATAGATCGCATCACCGTCGCCAGCTTGGCCGCACACGCCGCCTCGTCGCCGGCCACCTCTTGTGCACGCCACGCAACAAAGCGGTCCGGGCGCACCAGCACAGCGCCCGACTCGCTGACGCCGCGCAGTTCGGCCCAGGCAAAGTAGAAGTCCTCCCACTGCTGGCGGAAGCCGACAGTGTGCACGTGGAGGGGAACGCCGCCCAGGGCCTCGGACACGCGAGACGCCGCACCATGCCAGGCGTCGCCACCGATGCCCGTGAACAGCACAAACTTGCCGTGGCCGGCGATGTCAATGGTGGAGGTGGGCTTGGCGGACGGGATGGCGCCGTGGTTGAGCCAGACGTGGGGCAGGCGGCTGCCCGGGTACGTGTTGGGCTCGTGGTACAAGATGGGGTCGACGGCAGCACGGCCGGGCGGCGTCCAGGCCTCGCTCTCGTCGGCGACGTAGATTCCCTGGCCGCTGTAGTGCTGGTTCATCTCGATACCCAGGCCATTGAACTCATGGGTTGTGTGATGAATGGCTTGGCGCAGCGTGTTGCGGCGAGCTTGCCCGGCCGGGGTGGGCGCCTCGAGCTCGTCCAGAACGGCCCGCCGGTCTGTGACCGTTCTGGGCAGCGCGCCCAGGGCCTCCCAGACATTGTAATGGTCGCGGAAGCCCTGGTTGGCGCGTGTGATGATGCCTTTGCCGACAGGCTGGCGCTCGACACTGTACGTGTCGAGCAGCTGCGGGCCGGCCAAGCCATTGTGCACATAGGCGACTTTCCAGGCGAGGTTGAAGGCGTCCTGAATACAGGTGTTCGATCCCAGCCCGTTCATGGGCGGGTGGCGGTGGACGGCGTCGCCGAGGCAGAAGACGTTGCCGACCGAGTAGGTCTCGGCGACAATCTCGTTGATATACCACTTGCTGACATTCAGAATCTCGGCAGGCGTGTCGTCACCGATAAAGCTGCGCACACGGGCCAGGTACTCCTCGTTGGTCGTCTTCGACAAGGATTCGAAGTTGTCGGCGCCGTCGACATCGCGACTCGGAAGGAGAATAAACATCCACTCGTGCCACGGCTTGACCATGCGTACAAGGCCCATCCAGCCAAAGGCCGGGTGCTCTCGGTCCGGCTGCATGACCCAGTGCAGGTTGCCCCGGCGGGCGTCCACCAAGTGCGACATGTCGGCGCGCACGAGCACGTTGACGGCCAGGCCCTGGCCGGGTTTCTTGATGAGCGGCAGGTCCAGCTGCTTGACGACCTGGCTCTGCGCACCGTCTGCGCCAAAGATGTACTTGGTGCGCACACGGTATTCGACATTGGCCAACTTGTCCCGCAGTGTCGCTGTGTACATGCCTGTGGCAGTGTCCCTGGTGAATCCGAGGAGAGCTGTGTCAAAACGCATCTTGTAGCCGGCATGGGTGGCATGCCGCACGAGCACAGGCTCCAGCAGCGTTTGTGGCAGGTCCACAGGCGCACAGGGGCTCGCGGACTCATAATCGCCCTAGACAGTCAGAAAGTGATGACAAGTGACAAGTGGCAACTAAAGAGTGACAGCAAAAAATCTGCGACGAAGCCTGACGGGCTTACCTTCCGCTTAGGGTCGTTGCCCCAGGAGTAGATGCGGGCGTATTCGGCACCGGCCATGCTGTGGCACCAGCGCGTGTGCATCATGCAGCTGCCTTCGGACGACACCTGCTTGAGAGCCGCGTCGAGGCCGATGTCGCGCAAGCACTCGAGCGCCGCAATGTTGGTAATGTGTGCGCGCGGCGTGTTGGCTGTGCCGGGCGCCGCGCTGATAATGATACCTTTCAAGCCATACTCGGCAAGAAAACAAGCAAGTGAGGCGCCCGAGGGGCCGGCACCGACAATCAAAATCTCGGTCTCGATGACTTTGTTGCTGACGGCAGCAGGACAATCGGCAATGCCAGGTGGCGGTGGGGGATATGTAGAGGGGATGGAGGGCAGAGTGGGTGCAACAACCTCATGTGTACCGCTGGCAGCCGGAGGTGCTCCAGACACGGAGTTTGCGTCTGGGCCGACGATATGGAGCTCGCCATTGGGTGTGGATCCATTATTGGTCGACGACGATGTCTGCTCCTGGGCACAGGGAATAGTAGACTGCGGTGAAGAGACTTGTATGCCAGCAGGAAATGAAGGCGTGGTGCTGGAGCCGATGTTGATGTTAGCCGGTGCCATTGTTTCGAACAGTCGGTGAAATAGAGTACGCCGGAAAAGGGGATGTCGTGAGGGTGGAGGACCGAGGGAATGTAGTTCTGACGGTCGAAGTATGATATCCGAATTTATCTGAATTTTGCGCCGGTATCTGTCTTGTGCAGTAACTTCTCTTGGCCTCTTTAGAAGCCCTGTATTATTGTCTTCCTCCTTTGAGACCGACAAAGGCTTAGTATGTACGTGACGATGCGGAGAGGATGAAGACAAGGAAAGGGGTTATGGGTGAGAAGGAGGAGAGAGAAAAGGTAAAAGAACCTTATAAAATAGATGAAAATAGGAAAATAAGGAACCACTGGGGAAAGATGTCAGACGAAGAGCTCTCATGGTTTCGCAATCATTGTCCCGCGCAGATCAGATGGACAGGACTGGGCGTTGGGGTCGCAGGGGTGTGTGGACTGGAGTGCATCTGCAGGCACTCGAGCCATGGTTCATCTTCACAGACAACAACAGACGTCCATCCAACAAAGGCGGCTGCAATACCCCGGCATGGATTCCCCAGTGGAGATACGGGACTAAGTGCGGGATGGTGCGGGCGAATAACACGATGAGAAAATAAACAGAAAAAAGCGTGGCCAAAACGCAGCAAAAATAGTCCGAAGATCGTCCGAGCGACTGAAAGTGAAGAAGTAACGAGAGACAAAGACATTATGAATAGGAAATAGAGACGTACCTGGGCCTCAAAATGTCGTCCGACGCAACTGCCCCGGGGCCGAAGAAAAGTTTGGCCGTGCCGCGTCCGTCGTCGAGTGGCGTGCAGACCTCGACCATGCAGCTGCCACGGCGCATCGCCTGTGCTCGCCATGGCGGACGAGCCGGGCGGTGGATATCGAGTGGCATTCAAAGACCCTGTCGTCGGCGTCCCTTTGCACCTTGTGTACGAGCAGGCACCCGTGACCGCGCAAGGCGGCGTGCCGTCTTGCGACCGAGCATTCAACTTTGTCCGTTTTTTATCCCTGGTGCTGCGCTGCCGTCATTGTGGGATTTCTGTGAGGTCGTCGTCGTCGTCGTTGTTGTCTAACAATTGTATCGCCTGTCCAAAAACATCGCGAAGGCAACAAGTTTCAGCGTTTCACAGGGGGTATGTTGGCACTGGCTCCTTCCTCACTTCTCATAACTCACATCCCCCACCCCCTTTCTTTTATCCCTTCTACCCCTTTTCGCGCCTTCCTTCAACTCGTTTTCTGTCTTGCTCTTTCCTCCCCAGTCCACAGTCCCACCCGACGCTCTTTCCTTGTCTGACACGGCTTCACCCGGTAATAGGACCCGCCCCCGTCCACAAGCTTGGCCACTTTGGCATGTGTGTCACCGACTTTGCCGCGGCCTACCGCTTCTACACCACCCGCTTCAACTTTGCCTCCAGCGACGTCGTCTACGATGATACCGATACCAGCGGGGACATGACGACGTTTTTGCACCTGGGCCGCGGCGACGAGCTCGTCGACCACCACTGCTTCTTCTTCGAGGGCCCCGTCCGCCACGTCCACCACGCGTCCTATGAGACCTACGACGTAGAAACACAGCCGCTCGGCCACGACGGACTGTGCAGCAAAGGCTACGAGGACTGCCGGGGCGTCCGCCGGCACCTCATGGGCAGCCAGATTTTTGACCACTGGTTCGACCCCTCGCGCTTTGTCCTCGAGCACTATGTAGACGGCGACCTGGTGAACCGGCAGTGCAAGCCACACCGGTCGCAGGCCTCACCAGATGGTCTGCACATATGGGGTGTGCATCCTCTTTTGTTGCCTCTTTTGTTTGCTGTTTTATTCGTTGACAAGCTTTGCAGGGGCACGACCCGACTGCTGTAGAACGGACGGAGCCGAAAGACGATGGTCGTCGAATGCGTGCAAAGTACAAAGGAAGGTGGTCACAGAACGGCTGTCTGCATTATCTACGCGAGGATAGACCAGAAAGAAAAAGAGATTAGGGAAATGGCTCGTTTCGTGTTACTGTGTGGAGATTTCAAAGTGTGATCAAATCAGGCTGCGCTCAGGTGACATTGCCTGTGTCGCCATGTAATACGGACCATTCTATGTGGGACAATCTACTTAGAGTCTACGGAGGTCTGTGATGCACATATCCACACTCCAAATTAAATTGGTGTTTACTTTTTATTTTTGCTTGATAGAGAGCGAAGAGGGCGTGGCACGAAGGGTGAAAAAGAGTGTGGTGGAAACCAAAAGATACCGAAGAATAAAAAAATGGCGTGTAAAAAGGCCCTCTCACGCCTGTCTTCTCCCTTTCACAAAACACAAAAGCACATCCATCCGTTCGCCGATTTGATTGTATCATCTTCTGTGTCCGCCGGTAACAGCCGAACGTCCTCCTTGAAATATCAAAACAACACGCCTATCCTGCCAAGTACGAAACAATGAAAGGAACAAAAACAGTAACAAAAAGCAAAGACACGGTGAAACGCGCAAGTCCCATGCGCACGCAACAAAATGTTCCCACAATGCTCCCTAACGTCGTGAATGTGTGTTGCTTTGGTGTTGGTGCAATCCTGCCGCTTGTCCCTTGTCCCTTGTCGCTGGGGGTTGCCCCCTCTCAGCTTCTCCTTCCGTTTTTCCTGGTATATCTTTTTCTTTTCCCCGCCCCATCTAGTCGTTGTCTGTCGTGCATCATACCGAGTCTTGTCGTCATCTTTGGGCCCCGCTGTGCCTTCCCTATCCGTCTACTCTGTTCGATAAAACTTCTTGTACAGGAGGTGCAGCAGTAGGTTGACGTTGAGCCGCAGGTTGCCCTCGAAGACGTTCATGAACTGGTGCGCCTCGAACTGCGCCTGCAGCAGATCCTCAATCGACACGAGCGCGCTAGCACCGGGAATCTGGATGTGGCCACGCGAGCCCTCGATGGAGAACACGCCGACCTCGTCGCAGGAAATGGTCAGGTTGATCTTGTCGTAGTCGCGGTCCATAACACCCGTCCAGGACACCACGACGCCCTTCTCGGCCAGTGCCCGCACGCTGTACTTGTATGACCCAAACTTGGGCACCCGTCCGCTGCGCTCCAACTCGCGCTGATGGTTGTACTGCTTCGTGAATGGCAGGAGGAACCTTTTTTTGCTGTTGTTTTCATGGTTAGCATGGGTTCAAACGACTTGATAACTCACCCGCGTATCCAACCCCCCCCCCCCCCCAAAAAAAACTACCCCTTCTTGTTTTGCAGCGTAGCCATTGCCTGCTCAATGTAGTCGTCGTAGCTCTTGCGCTTCTGCTCCAGGTACTTGGCCTTTTCGTGCAGGTTGCCCAGCGTAAGACGCACGCCTTCCAACTCGCGCTGCCGTTGCACGCGCCGCCGGCTCTTGGTGCGGATGTCCAGCGCAATTGCATTCAGCACGTCCTGGTAGTGGTTGTGCTTGGATATCCGTCCCAGCTGCTCCAGACGCAGCACGTTCTCCAGTGCCGTGCGCTTGAGGTCGTAGTAGGACATGCGGGTCACGTCCACCATGTTGGCGTCCGAGTACGCGCCGCGCGTGTTGCTGCCCACCGCAAAGTCCTCCCGCAGCAGCGACTGCCATTTCTGCTCGTCCTGTGGGTGAATCGGCTTCACCAACACGTCCAGGAGATTCACGCCAGTCTGCACACGGATAATATACAGAATGCATCGCTTCGTCTCCATGAACAGGGCCTTGACCTCCGCCTCGGGGTCTTCCACATCATGCAGCTTGGGTGTCAGGTACATTTGAATGTCTGATGAGCCGGCCGCCGTCATCTCGCTCTCGTTGTTCTTCGCACTGCCGAGTTCCTGTACAATCTCGCGCAGCATGTCGTCGCGATTTGGGCAAATCGCGGGCAGCTCCGACACCACCAATTGGTGGATGGCAAAGATGTCCGTCATCTTGATGTATAGCGTCGGCTTGTTCTTGGCGTACAGGTCGTTGAACTCGTCAATGTCGAAAGTGCTCTCGGCGTCCGGCACCGACACAAGTGCCTCCATGATGCGGCCCAGGCGAGCAACCGAGTCGGAGATGAATGCATTCAGCGGCAGCAGGTGAATGTTGTCGCCACCAAATGGCCGGCCGCTGGCAATCTGGCCAAGGACCTTGGCCACTTCGCCCAGGTTGCGCTTCTGGAGCGGGCTGAGATTCTTGTCGATAACACCGACGTTCTCCGGTGACGTGACTGCCGGCTGCAGGTAGAAGCGCCAGAGCCAGTTGCCCACGAGCTGGAGGTGGTACTGTGGGGGATCGCGCTGGAAGTGCTGGCAAAGCGAATCGAACATCTGCCGGCAGATGAAACGAATACCATATGGTAGGCGCGGCAGGAGGTCCTCGAGGGACAGCAGGAACTGATCGGAGATCTCGCGCAAGTCGCGGAGGTGGTCGATAAACAGCTCCTGGGTCTCGGGGTCCTTGATGGCGTGTTCACGTGGGACGTCGCGCGGCCGGTGGCTGGGCTGGCCTGTCCGGAGCTCTTCGTTGTTGATGGCCGACCGGTAGATTTGCAAGGGGTCGCTCTCCAGGTCGAGTGCCGGGTCTTCGATAATGTTGTCGCGGATCATGGGACCCAAGAGGTCGCGCAGGTATTTGCGGTCGCGGGGTGATCGTGTGTAGTTGGTGAGAAGCTTCTGCCAGTAGTAGTTGCCACGGACGTACTCCTGGATGGAAGACGAACCGTCGATTTCTTCACTGATCGACCGGGCGATCAGCTTGAGCAAATAGTACTCCTCTCTCCGCTTCTGCGCATAGCCAAACAGGCTCATGATCAGAAGCTCAATCCGCCGCCCCTCCTTTTCGGACATGCCCTGCATGCGAATGCGACGGAACAGGCGCGCCAGGTACTGGGGCTGCGTCTGCAGGTTGAAGAAGAGCTGCTGGTACGATTCCAGCTTCTTGCGAGAACTCTTGTTCAACGCCTTCAGGTCGAACTGGTTGGCGGACGTCATCGGCGTGCTGGCAAGGATGTTTCCGGTGTGACCACCAAAGTTGCTCTGGTGCCGCACAACCTCGTCGAGGGTAATCTTGTTCTTGACGAGAAGTGCAATCTTGATGTCGAGTTGGTCAATGTACTGCTCCATCGTCTCGTTTTGGCGAACCTGCTGCACAACGGTCTTGCGCATCCGCTCAAACTCAACCTCCTCGTTGAAGTCAAAGTCGCTGTCGTTTAGCAGATGAACAAAGTTCTTCACGGCGTTGACCGGAGGGTTCTTGCCAGTGGTGAGGCTCTTGTATGCTTCGCCCTGCATCTTGGCGCGGACAAAGCTTTGGATCTTGACAACGCGTTGCATATTCTCGTTGAAGAAGCGCTTCTTCTCGGCAAACCGGCAGCGGACGATAAAGGCCTTGGCGGCAGCTTGCAGGGCAACGATCGACTCCTCCTGCTCATCAAGCTGGTTGAGGAGCTCGCCGATCTCGCTGCGCAGCAACATGGCCCGGGCGAGAGCCTGCAGCTGGACAATTTCGGGTTCGGTGGAGTGCAGCTCGTCCAAGAAAGCAGAGTGCTTTTGACGGAAGATGAAGGCCCGCGCATTTGCTTGCAGCCGCGTGATTTGGCGTTCCTGGGCAGAGAGTGCGTTCAGATCGCCCGCGACCCGGAAGCGCTCGAGCATGCCGCGGGCATGGGACTGCAGTGCAATGAGCTCGGGCTCGCACTCTTGAAGGCCGTCGAGGGTATCGGTGATGTTGCGTCGAACAGCAGCGGCCCGGACACAGGCCTGCAGCGCCTCGATCTGGGGCACATGCTGGCGCAACTCGGCTGTCAGGGCAGTGACGGACTGCCGGGCGGCGTTGCCTCGTAACACAGCCTGCAAGTGCTCCCACTGAGGTGCAAAGCGTGCAAGTGCCTCTTTCTGCAGGTGAATCTGGTGTCTCGTTAGCATTGCCCTTGCGGCGGCCTGGAGGTCGGCTACTGCGTGACTCTCAGCAAAGAGCGCCGCCTGCTCGTCCTCCAGGCGCCTTCTCAGCAGCATGCCACGAATGGCAGCCTGCAGAGCTGTGGCCGAACCGGCCGCATGCTTTGCATCCTGCTTCTGAGAAAGCATCTCTCTGCGCGCCAAGTATCCCCGGAAGACCGCCTGAATGCCTCGCACGGGCCCTGAAGCGTGCTGTAGCTGAGAACGAATGTCTCGTACCTGGTTGCGGACCTTGTTGGCCCGAATGAGGCTCTGAAGCTCGAGGACATGACCTTCCATGCTCTCCAAGTAGTACTCTTTCTCATGCTGCCGCTGGCGGACAAGGAATCCGCGTGCAGCGCTTTGCAGGTCGATGGCGAAGCGCCGCATCTGCATTCGGTATTCGATAATTTGTCTGGCAAAGTCACCGCGAATACGAGCCTGGAGGTCGATCAGCCAGTTCTCGTCGTCCCAGAGCTGCTGCATGGATTGGCCTAGCCGCATGCGCACGAGAGCGCCGCGTGCTTGTGCTTGCAGGTCCACGATCGAGGCCTCGTTCTCGGCCAGCTCGCGGTCGATGCGCTCCTCTTCCGTTTCGACGGGCTCAGGCTCTACATCAAAGTCGGCGCCGATGTTACCGAAACTGGGCATGTTGGCACCCAACTTATCGAGACCCTTTTGCACTGCTTCGAGTTCGTGGTGCTCGAATTCGAGCTGGCCAATGAGGTTGCCGATGCGGAAGTCAACAATGCCCTTGCGGAAGAGCAGCCAACTCAGGGCGTGAATGCAGTAGATGACCTTGGGGATGTTCTTCTTCTCGTACAGGTCGATCATCTCGAAGCGGAACAGGTCGGGCAGCTCGACCTCGTCGAGGTAGCGGAAGAAGTTGGCAATGTTGTCCGAGTACAGATACTGGAGTTTCTGGTGCCGAATGATACGGAACGGCCTGTCGGGGTTCAGAGCAGCCACAACTTCGGCGAGTGTGACACCGTCTCGCAGCGCCTCTTCAAGCTCAACAATGGGTGGGATGGTGCGGTGGATGACATCCTCGATCCACTCCTTGGCCTCGCCGATGTGGCAGAGATACTCGTAGGCCTGGAGAAATTGCCGTTGCTTCTCCATCCAATTCCAATCACCACCGCCGCGGCCTCCGGACTTGGCGGGTGCGGCGTTCTGCAGCCGTCGCCGGCCGCGAAGACCCACGACTTCCTCTGACGTTGCGGCGAGAGCAAAGTCATCAGCGGAGCCAGACTGTGCCAGCTTTGAGAGGGTTCGCAGCTGATTTGTCGACGACTTGCCCAGAGTCTGGAAGTCGGGTGCGGTGATGGGTGCCGTGTGTGCATGATGGAGAGTTGCGGGCATGCTAGCATGAGCGACAGCGGCACTTCCACCTCGATTGATCGAGTCGGACCGCGTGAGGAGCATGGAGTTGGGACGTATGGCGGAAAGCGGAGCTTGTGGACGGTTGCTGCCAAGCCGGTCATTTTCGATGTTGCTGCTGCGGTTGCCGCTGGAGAGGGAGCCGATGTCGACGCTCTGTCCGCGATCATGGCGCGAGAGGCTCTTCACTGGCGATGTCGGCGGGGAGGTGACGGAGGCTGCGGGCGCTTGAGGCAGCGGGCGCAGTGACCGCCGCGCGTTGCCATATATGTTCTCGCCATGTGCCTTGGGAGGCGACGAGACGTGGAGGTTGGAGAAAGAGGTCGAGAGTCGGGCAGCCTCGCTCTGACCACGCTTGTGTCCCAGCGACGAGTACCCGCCAGAATACGATGTCATGCTACTGGCGGCCGAGCTCTGGTCGGAGACGTTGGAGTAGCCAGACGATGCGTTGGAGTAGCCGGACGAGGCGGACGAAGACGCTGTTGAAGGTTGGCGGGCAACCGAATAGTCAAACGTTTGTGACTGTCGGAGGGGATGCGGTCGGTGCATCTTTGTTGCTTGTGGATGCCGCAATCGTTGTTGTTCCCGGAAGTCCGGCGGGTGTCAATGACAGCTTGCAAAACTGCTGGCAGCTCCGTCGGCTTCCATATGGACACAGTCCACGGGTGAAGGTACTGTTCAGAAAAGCAGCGGTGTAGACGGACGTGTGTAATCTGAGAAGTGTATCGGTCGTGGACAAAACGGGGATTGCGACGTATTGATTATGGCAGAGTCGAAAATGAAGCAAAACAAAAGATCGTGAGATCGCGGCGAAATGGTTCCTGCGTCGCGCTGGCTCGCCAGCGTCGGTTTGAAGAGAATAAGACACACTGGCAAAGAGTTACCAGGGCGTGCAATGAATAGAAAGCGTGTCGAAAAAGATGACGAGAAATGAAACTTTACATGCCAACGACCAGAGGGCAGTAGAGTGTTGGCGTATTGGCAAAGTCTAAGAGGTGCGTGGGAAAAAATCAGACAAAATGGCTACCGCAGAACATCTCTCTTACAACAGGAAGGATCCAGCGACAATAGCAGGGCGGCGTTATTACTGAGGGCAGGCACGGGTTTCTGTGTGCGGCAGGTGTGGGCGAGGGGCGTTCCTTCTCGATCTGGATGGCCTGTCGCCCTGGAGATCGGGCCATCTTGTTTGTTTACATTGCGCCTGCCCTACTGGGGCGGACTTTGGTGCTAGCGTACTTTACGTCACAAGGGGACCAGGCCACGGCACATAGAGTGTCTTTGCGCACGGGCCGCGAGTTGCGGCTGGTTAAATACATGAAACTTGCTATCCGCTTACCGGGGCGCTACGACAATGGATGGACCAAATTCAAACCGTTAGATTTAGACGAGATAAACATTTTGTCACGTGCACTTCATCCACTGTCCAACAGATTCTCGTCGTGGTCAAATCGGACCCCTACCCGGCGACAGGCCGAATATCGGAATATCGTGGCCTTGGACAGACGTCCACATTGCCTTCACGATTGTCAAAAATCGCCAGACGAGCTGCAATTGACACCGTCGCCGCTACGGGCAAACTGGCCCACCCAATGGCCTTCCATCGCACCTGCCTCGCAAATAGTCATAGTGACTAAGCCTTGACGACGCGACTGCCCCGCTTTAATATTTTTCTGGCACGGCGATAAAGGTAAAAAATTTGCCTGCGGTGAGAGCAAGCGAAGTTCCCTTTTTTTCCTTCTTTCTTCTAATGGGGAGAAGACAACTACGAACGGTACGTGAAACTGCCACTGGTCGAAAGTCCAATTTGTAGACGTCTTCGAACTCAATCATACTGTTTTACTTTATCGGAGCACGTCTTTCAAACGGTATGTGCATTTTCCCTGCGAGAAAACGCGACAAAGACGCCTCCTGAGGGGTTGACGTCGTTGCTGTCGATCTTTTCTCCCTGACTTCTCACCGTTCCGCAAGGCGTTGCCCCTCGAACGAGCGTGGTCCAGACTCACACAGCCTCACATTGTGACCCATATTCGCCTGCTAACATCTACCGTCTCCAGTTTCCGTTTCACAAGCCGCAAACATGCCTGAAGCAGTCAACGGCGTCGACCACTTCCTGAGCGCCTCCAAGGCCCTGGCCACGCTCGAGGAGTACGAGGAGCGCGATGGCCTGGGGATCAAGGATCTCATGAACGCCCGGGTGCACGGCGGCCTCACGTACAACGACTTCCTCGTTCTGCCCGGCTACATTGGCTTCCCCGCGTCCGAGGTGGCCCTCGACTCGCCCATCACGAAGCGCATCACGCTCAAGACGCCCTTTGTCTCGTCGCCCATGGACACGGTGACCGAGCACGAGATGGCCATCCACATGGCTCTGCAGGGTGGCCTGGGCGTCATCCACCACAACTGCTCGCCCGACGCGCAGGCCGACATGGTCCGCAAGGTTAAGCGGTACGAGAACGGCTTCATCCTGGACCCCGTTGTCATCAAGGTCGACACGACCGTTGGTGAGGCGAGAGCCCTCAAGGAGAAGTGGGGGTTTGGTGGTTTTCCTGTGACTGGTAAGCAAACCCCTCGAATTTTTCGTTCAATTTATTTTATATATATATTGCACTCGACCGCCCCTTCACAGACCTCCCACCCAGCCTGCACACATTCATGCCTTGTTATGATTATTACCACTTTTTATTATAACTTTCGTTCCACCGTCAACGGCATAACGCCATGGGGATAACAAAGAATTTTTATGACACTTGGCGCATTCATTTTTTGATGTTGTTTTTAAATCCGTCTTCGTTCTCAAAGGATCGAAACGTGACTAACTCGACACAGAGAACGGCACCTTGGGCTCCAAGCTCCTCGGCATTGTCACGAACCGCGACATCCAGTTCGAGGATGATGGCAACCTCCCCGTGTCCGACGTCATGGTCAAGGACCTTGTCACCGCCCCGGCTGGTGTGACCCTCGTCGAGGCCAACAAGATCCTGTCGCAGTCCAAGAAGGGCAAGCTGCCGATCGTTGACAAGGACGGCAACCTCGTGTCCATGATCTCGCGCTCCGATTTGACCAAGAACCTGCACTTCCCCCTCGCTTCCAAGCTGCCCGACTCCAAGCAGCTGATCTGCGCTGCCTCCATCGGCACGCGTCCCGAGGACAAGATCCGCCTGCAGAAGCTGGTGGACGCCGGCCTGGACATTGTCGTCCTTGACAGCAGTCAGGGCAACAGCATGTACCAGATCGAGATGATCAAGTACATCAAGGCGACCTACCCCGACCTGGACGTCATTGGCGGAAACGTCGTGACCCGGGAGCAGGCTGCTGCCCTCATTGACGCAGGTGTTGACGGCCTGCGCATCGGCATGGGCAGCGGCTCGGCCTGCATCACGCAGGAGGTCATGGCCGTCGGCCGCCCGCAGGCCACTGCTGTGTACAACGTGTGCGCTTTTGCTGCGCGCTTCGGCGTTCCCTGCATTGCCGACGGTGGCATCCAGAACGTCGGCCACATTGTCAAGGGTCTGTGCCTGGGCGCGTCCACGATCATGATGGGCGGTCTCCTGGCCGGCACGACCGAGTCGCCCGGCACGTCGTTTGTGTCGCGCGAGGGCAAGCTGGTCAAGGCGTACCGCGGCATGGGCAGCATCGACGCCATGCAGGACAAGAAGGCCGGCGGCGGCGGCAAGAACAGCCAGAAGAGCAACGCCGGCACGGCTCGCTACTTCTCCGAGGGCGACAGCGTGCTGGTCGCGCAGGGCGTGTCCGGCGCTGTCGCGCACCGCGGGTCCATCAACAAGTTCCTGCCGTACCTGGCTGCCGGCGTCAAGCACTCCATGCAGGACAGCGGCATCAAGAGCCTGCGAGAGCTCCACGAGAGCGTCTCGTCTGGCAAGTTGCGCTTCGAGATCCGGACGGCGAGCGCCCAGCTTGAGGGTGGCGTTAACATGGAGTCGTACGAGAAGAAGCTCTACGTGTAAGCGAGAGTTTGTCGGTCTGACGGATGACGACTAGGAACGGGGTTTGGAGAAAGGGTACATTTCTTGATTATTTTTTCCCCCTTATTTTGGCAAAGCCTCATTTTTGATGATTGGGATATGAGGACTTGAAGAGGAGGACACGTATATACTCGTTGTCTTTTTGCTTTTTGCGTAACCCAGAACATAAAAAAGACGTTGCAGTTCAGTAGAGTTCGCTTGATGTGCTTGAAGGCGGCCAAGACGGCAGGGCTACGGCCTGGCCGAATGAAGCGGCCACAAGCACGGAGAGCGGATTCTACGGTTGCTGCGAGATGGGGCGACCCATAGTAGGAAGAGGAGGAGACGAGGCGACGACAGACGAGCCATGCATGCGGCGTTGGGGGCGTTCTTGTGAGGTTTTTGTCATTTTTGCTTTTTTTAAAAAAAAAAAATTCTCTTTTTTTATCTTTTAATTTTGGATTTATGATAAACCTCCAAAATTTGGATACGTCCTTGGCACTTTCTTGACATTTGAGCCGCCTTTTTCCATTCCTGTTCGCTGTCGTTCTGGTTAACATTCTTGCAGGAGCAAAAACATTCTTGCAGGAGCAAAAGGCGGAGAATCTCCATTCAGTGTGGCTCTGGTTGTGCCTCGTCACAGACCACCCCGGCCCTTTTCTCCTTACTGGCCACTCTATTGGACCAAACCAGTGTCGATATGCACAAAGAAAGCTGAACAGGCTGACATGCACGATGCACAAGCAAACCACCGTCGCGACGGAAGGCTGGTCAGGCGCACAGCCACAGAGCTGCCTAAAATGCGACCACCAAGAAGCTGGGACAGCAATGAGCCATAAAAGCCCGTTTGCATTTTCTGTGCTTGAAATCGGATTCCTTGATTTTTGGGAAATATTGTGAGTTCCATCTGGTGGATTTCCCTTTCCGTCTCACAAGCACAGGTTCACAAAATCAAACATCATGCATCGCAGACCGCGTAACAGGAGAGGTTGGGAGGATGACTCCGACAGCGACTCAATCCAGATCACTACTGTGGACTATTCGCATTTGGTGGGCAGACATGCCTTTGGCATCGACAAAGTCCCCGACGTACTGTATTCGATCAAATATGTCGACAAATCCCGCCGTCATTATGGAAGTATGTACAGAAACGGGACAAGCTACCCAAGTAATTTTTGCATCTGAGCCTTTGCTAACCGAATTTTAGCGATTGGTTCCAACGAGAAGATCAACGTTGACGAATCCAATGCCGGCGATGCTACGCCCGAGTCGCAAAATTATCCGGTGATCGAGATTCACACAGTAGCGATCTGCTCACCCAGACACGCCAAGACCAAGCTGGAGCCATTCCGCAACGTCTACCACGCAGAGAGCGGGGAGAGCAAGAACGGCGCGGAGGAGGACGTGGTCGACGTAAACATTGACGACGATGACAACATGCTGGAGCTGGCAATGCAGGCAAAGCTGCAGTCGCTGGATATTGCAGCCGTGCGCGACCGCTTTCACGTGGACACGATCGACGTCAAGGGCATGGTCATCCACTCGTCCTACCTACAGCACGCCATTAACGCCGTCAAGGAGTCGACAGTGCACCTGCCGGCATTGCTCAAGGAGCCATACCCGGCGCTGTACCACATGCGCGACGATCTGGCACACTTCCGCGACAACCAGCCGGCATGCCACAACGAGACGCAGCGGACCACGACGGCCAAGCACATCAACGTCCTCCTCGACTACCTGCAGAAGGAGCTCGGCGACCGGTGCCGCGACGAGGAGCGGCGCTATGCGCAAAGCCCGCCGATGGCGACATTCGATATGATGTGGTTGCTGTACAAGCCGTTTGGGGTGGCGTACGCAAAGTGGGCCGGGCGACAGCCCGGGTCGCCAATGCATTGGCGCGCCTACATGATCAGTTCGGTGGACATGGACCTGCACAAGGCGCGTGTGACGTGCTGGAGCATGGCGTACAACGCGGGGATGCTGAGACGCGAGACGATGGTATTTACCATCAACTCGTTCTCGGGCGAGCAGACGATCCAGGATCTGCCGCTGGTGCCGCAGCGATTCTTCCCCGAAGACCTGGCCGCACAAGACGGACTGAGCATGGCAGACTGGCAGATCAAGCTGGGCCGCCAATATTGGGACCTGGTGCAGTCGCCGGCGTACAAGGAATACGTGGTTCCGGCCGACATCGTCGAGGAGGCGGCCAGCAAAGGAGCAGACAGCGCACCCAACCACACCACCAAAAGCAACAGCGAAAATAAAAACAAAACCAAGAGCGAGCTCGTCGAGCGCGTTGTCGTCGACGTGAAGGGCTTCGAGAAGTTTCGTCTGCCGCCCTCAACGTCAATGTCTCCGGCTGGCGCCAACGGAGGACCCATGGCGATGCCACCGCCGCCGCCGCCGCCGCCTCCGATTTCGACGTCCGCGGATAATTTGGGCTTTCAGTTGCATTTTGCGCCGCGGTGCAGCTGCGACACGTGCCGGGACAACCCGAACAGCGAACCGAAGAAACCGGGCCGGTTTGCCGAGTTCAAGGTGGGGGCGATCAGTTCGGGCAAGAAGCCGACAAACGACCTGTTCTATCTGCTGTGCGACGTCGACGTGCCCGCGTTTTTGCTGGCGAGGCGCGAGTGGATGCATGTGCACCTGGCGCGGCTGCGGCCGGTGCAGGCGGACCACGAGGCGTTTGAGAACCTGGTGCTGGACGCGGACATCAAGACGACGGTGCGGGCGCTGACGGGCAAGTTTGCGCACGAAGTCGAGGAGGGACGGGCGGACAGCGGGCGGGTCGCGCCGTGGCCGCGGGACATTGTCAAGAACAAGGGCGAGGGCCGCATCTTTTTGCTGCACGGCTCGCCGGGCGTCGGCAAGACGTGCACGGCCGAGTGCATTGCCGAGCTGGCGCAGCGGCCGCTGCTGGCGCTGACGTCGGGCGACATCAGCACGGACATGAACGCCGACGTCGTGGAGCGCAACCTCGACACGTACCTGCGCCTGGGCGAGCGCTACGGCGCACTCGTGCTGCTCGACGAGGCCGATGTGTTTCTGGAGGCGCGTCGCGCCAGCGACCTGCGCCGCAACGGGCTCGTGTCGGTGTTTCTGCGGGCGCTCGAATACTTCCGGGGCGTGCTGTTCCTGACGACGAATCGCGTCGAGACGTTTGACGATGCGTTTACGAGCCGCATCCACGTGGCGCTGCACTATCACCCGCTGTCGGCCGAGAGCCGGCGCCGCGTGTGGATGCAGCACTTTGCGCGCATCGAGCGAGACAGCGGCGGACGCATTTTTGTGCTGCGCAGCACGCGCGAGTATGCGTACGAGGACGCCGAGGTGCACGCGCTGGAGCTCAACGGGCGCGAAATTCGCAACGCACTGCAGACAGCGGTGGCGCTGGCCGAGGCGGACGCTCTGGACAAGGCAAACGAGGACGAGGGCCAAGCGACCGTGACAGAGGCGCACCTGCGGGCTGTGATCAAGATGAGCGCCGGCTTCAAGCTGTTTATGAACAAGGCGAAGTCGAAGCTTTACGAGTGAGCACCCACACGGGCCGGATGTGATGGGATGGGATAGGCAATAACATATCCAAAATAAAAGTAATAAAATAACAAAAAACGAACCACAAGACAACTAGTGTAGGCACCCCGTGTCCTTTGTGATTGCCCATACTGTTGCCTCTGTGGTGTATGTCTGCTGGAGTGATGCTGCAGGCACAAGACAATAATTGACATCCTCGTGGAACGCCGTCGGGTTCGCGTAAAATACAGAGCAAAGTAAAATAAAACAAATAAAAATCGGACACGCAGCCCATTGGACACTCCACGACGAGCGTCTCTGCACGGCTTTACGCACCTCACAGCGTCGCCGCTGCTCCGACGGCACCGGCCACATTAAACGCCTTCTTGTTCGTCCACCGGATCTCGACGTCGTGTGCCCACTCCATGTACCGGGCCCAGCCTGTTCGGTCAGTTCTCCGTCTCGTCTTCGGCGCAAGTCACAACCACGGAGACACTCACTCCAGTAGGCAAACTTTCGGCCGAGATACTTGCCGGCAAACGGCACAAGCACCATGGTCAGCATCAGCTGCAGCTGCTCGAGGCTGGCCTCCCACTCGCGCTGGGCGTCCGACGTGTCGTCGGAGCCCGCCTCCGAGGGGCTGATCACACTGGTCGAGATGGACGGCAGCGAGTCGACCTCGCCGTCCTCATCGTCGGTCTCGTTCTCGTCGAGGGCTTCGTCGCCCGTCTCGGCATCGGCGTGCGGCCCCGGCAGTGTCGTCGTCGCCGCCGGGTCGGCCAGTACAAACGATTCAGACGTCGACGCAGACATCTGGAAGCCCGCGTCGGATATTGATATTGGTTCGGAAGACATTGTCTGTGGTAGGGGGTTGCCAGACGCGGGTTTGTTGTCCGTCGCCGTCCATCGTGAAGGCACCCGAGTTCGCTTGGGGCCGGAAGCTGCCCAGCTCTTGCGGGGGCACCGATGGCAGCTGCTGATTGGCTAGAATGCCGGCGTCACCTGATTGACCTCTCTGCGACCAACTGTGGCAGGTGGCCCTAAGGACGGCAACAGCCCACACTCCAGCTGCCCCGATCGCCCCTTCCCACGCCATGCCAAACTGCCCCTCTGTCGCATGTCATCGTGCTGATCCAGTCCCCTGGTCGCCTTTGCGCCTTCCTTGTTTGGCGCATGCCGTCACAGGACAAACCTTGCCCTCGCGAATTTCTTCGTTTGCTCGGAAGGTCTTCTTTTCTTCGTCCCCTTTTCTTCTGCATCATCGTCAATTCCACTACCTCGACATCGACGGTCCCGACGCATCCATCCCGGCTTCGCTGCATCCACTACACGCAGATTTGCATCGATCTCATAACAAACAGTCTCGTCGCGGATTGGCTGCAACCCTGGCTGCAACCCTCCTATTGCCTTGTTGTCTCATTGCCGCACCGCACTCACAACGCACAGCCGACAGCTCGTGTCCCTGCTTCTGCGGGTGTTTCTAACGGGCCAGCGGCCAACCGAATACCCGGCGCTCCGTTTCTTGTCTCGTCTCTTGGCTCAACAGCCATCTGTGGCGTACGGCGTACTTCCACAACTCTAAAGCCAACCACCCCTGGCCAACTATCAAACGACGCTCTGCACCGCCAATATGGCGACAACCGAGACTCCTGTACGTTGCATCCCTCGTTCTTGTGTTGTCGGTCCACTTGCTGGCTCGTTTCACTACACATTGTCGTCTGTAACTCTTTGTGGTTATTTGCCCCTTTGACTGCATTCACGGTCCAGTGGCTTCCAATGTCGCCGCAATCTGCAAGTGCGACCAGTGGTGAGTCGCTAGCGCGCCTTCCACACACAACACTCAACAAGTGCTGGATGACTCAGAAGGAAGTCGCCGCCCCGCCCTCTCGTTGGTCGACGCCGACCCCGCCACGTTCGAACACTGCTGTAGTTTTGTGAGGGCTAGTTGTGTAGGCCAAAATTTGCCCGCAGCGAGACCAAGAAAAAAATTACGAAGCACGACCATACATACCAACGCACGGCACACGACGTCTGGTGGCTCTGACTCTTCTCTGCTTTTGCTTCTCTTTCTCTCCTGTCCCTGACCAGATCAACAACTACCCCCTCCACTCCCCGTTTTTGTCCCCGCTTTATCTGGCTCTCGGTCATTTTTCGTTTGGACCGCGCGTGGACGATTTTTCATTATCTCGTCTTTTAACTGTCACATCGATCCGCATTCTAACATCTACGCCTCCTTTTCTTTTCGTGTTCCCTCCCGCCGACTAGATCGCCGAACGCAAACCGCGGAAATCCGTCGCGTTTACCGAAGAAGCTCTTGTTATCGACGCCGACGGACACGTCACCATGCCTTCGACCGAGACCATTGACGACACAAAGGACACGGCCGTGTCGCACAGCCCGCGCACGCCGCCGCTGTCGGCCGCGCTCGAGTCGTCTGCCGATGCTGCTGCGGCTGCCGCTGCGGTTGCCGCAACAGGCGAGGACGGCCTCGACCTGAGCCTCCTGAAGAAGAAGAAGAAGAAGTCGTCGACCAAGAAGAAGGCCGACGACGAGGCTGAGGGTGGCGACGACGACGCCGGCACGCCGGCCGGCGACGACGGCGGACTGGACCTGACGCTCAAGAAGAAGAAGAAGAAGAAGGCGAGCAAGGACAAGGCCGGCGCGGGCGAGGGCGACGAGTTTGCCGAGAAGCTCAAGGCGCTGGAGCTGCGCGAGGACGAGACGGTCGAGGTCGAGGAGGGCGACATGGACAAGGGCACGGGCATCTGGCAGCACGATGCGGCCACGCCGCCGATCCCCTTTGCCATGCTGCTGTCGCGCTTCTACCACGTGCTGGAGCTCAAGAACCCGGACCACGCGACCAGCGGCTCGCGCAGCTACAAGATCCCGCCGCCGCAGTGCATGCGCGAAGGCAACAAGAAGACCATCTTTGCCAACATCACCGAGGTGGCCAAGCGCATGAAGCGCACAGAAGACCACATTACGCTGTACCTGCTTGCCGAGTTGGGCACGACGGGTTCCGTCGACGGCAGCCGGCGCCTTGTCATCCGCGGTCGGTTCCAGCAGAAGCAGATTGAGAATGTCTTGCGGAAATACATCAGTACGTTGCCTGCCCTTTGGCGTTCCCCTTCCGACCTATTTGCTATGCGTTTGACCTTGATACCTTTTTTGTTCTTCTTTATTCTAACAAAACAGTCGAATACGTCGTCTGCAAAACGTGCAAATCGCCCGACACCGAGCTCAGCAAGGGCGAGAACCGTCTGTACTTTATCACCTGCAACTCGTGCGGCTCCAGACGGTCTGTCACGGCCATCAAGACTGGTTTCTCTGCCCAGGTCGGCAAGAGAAAGAAGACCCAGGGCTAGAGGGGAGCTGGTGCGTGTTGTGTCCTGTGTGCTTTGCGCACTGGCTTGTGGGATTGTGGGATCGATTCGACAATCTGCCTCTCCTTCTTCCAGGTGTTTCTGAACGTCTCTGTCCGGGTTTTTGATACCTCGCATGTGGTCTTGGGCGGCTGTCTTGTGTCGATATATTCGCTTCGCGGGAGTATGAGAGACGCGACTGCCGACACGGTGAAAAAGTGAAAAAAGTACAAAGAGAAATAACGAAAACATTGCATGGAAGAATGGAAACCGATGGACTTTTGCAGGACTTGATTTTATGGGAATGCATGCTGTTGGGCCTGTTCCAAGGACGATAAAAATAGACGACAGAATGACAATGAAAGAATGTGAAATAAGATGATCTGCGCTGGGTGTGAGCTTATGTGGAGGTGGAAGCTGTTTTGATTTTCAGTGCTTTTGGTTTTTACTTTATTGTTTTTTAATTTATTCTTATCTTCCTTTTGGCATACTTTCCATCTCGTATTTTCTAATCGAATCTTATGTATTCTTGTACTATGTGTGCTTATTCTATCGTCATGTCTGCCCTTACTTTGTTTTTTCTAAATGTTTGTTGTTCTTTTTATACCAAATAATGTCAATAATTTATACTCCTATCCCTCCCCCCATTTTATTTTTATAATAAAACCAAAAAAACCAACGACAGTCTCACACCATTTTTTGCTTCTTTCCCACGCCCCTACGCCGTCGTGAACGCTGCGGTACTTTTTCATAATGCCTAGAAAATGTTGAGCCACACTGCGCGACGGCTGGCTATTGATAGCATTCGAAGGCGGACACGTCATTCGCCCGCGTCCAACGCGATAGCTTCCCCTCATCTGCGTCCAGCTTCCTCTCTTGGAATCGTCAACGACTTATAAACCCCAAGGGCGGGCGTTGGGTGACGGCTGTATTTTCTGGGAAATAAAAACCCACGGATTTCAAGGTAGTAGCACACCAACTCCATTGCTTTATCGCGTCCTACCTCGTCCACCACAAATCGGACCATCTTTATCCCTGTCGTTCTTCCGCAACCACACTCTCCTCAACATCGATCATGACCATCTACGAAGAAGCCCCCAAGAATGGCACGGCCGCCTCGCTGGTGACTACGGCGACCACGCATCCCGTCGCCGGCTTGCCCAACGACAACCCTTCCAGGTCGTACTGGCTGCAGGAGCCGTCCAAGCTGCTGCTCGGCCACCGCACAACGCCTGACCTGCCCGCTGAAGTCGATGTCGTCGTCGTCGGCAGCGGCATCACCGGCGCGTTTGCCGCGGATGCTCTCCTCGAGGACGTGGGCGGCGCTGCGTCCGCCACCCGCACCGTCCTCGTTCTCGAAGCCCGCGAGGCCTGTTTTGGCGCCACTGGCCGCAACGGCGGCCACTGCCAGCCCATGGTCTACTCGTCCGCCTCGGACGTCTCCGACTTTGAGCTTGCCACCTTCCGCTTTCTCCAGCGCTTTGTCGCCGAGCACCACATTCCCTGCGACTGGCGCACGCTGGCGGGCGGCGTGCACGCGTACCTGGACAAGGACCTGTTCGAGCTGGCCGAGGCGCTGGTCGCGACGCTGCGCGCCAAGCGGCCCGACTTGGCCGACCAAATCACCGTCGTGACCGCCGACGATGTCCGGAACGCAGCAGCAAACACCGCCCTCGACGACCTGCGCCTGCGTGGCGCCGCCGGCGCGCTCGTGCAGCGCAACGCTGCGTCGGTGTGGCCGTACAAGCTCGTGGCGTGGGTGCTGGAGCGGCTCGTGCAGCGGCACGCCGCCTCGGGCGCGTTCAACCTGCAGACCAACACGCCCGTCCTGCACGTTGCCCACGATCCACGGATGCCGTCTTCGTCTGCGTCGCCCTGGGTTGTCGGGACTCCCCGCGGCACCGTCCGAGCCCGCGCCGTGCTGCTCGCCACCAACGGTTACGCGTCGCGTCTGCTGCCGCGCAGCCTCGCCGACCTCGTCGTGCCCGTGCGCGCCCAGGTTGCCGCGCTGGTACCGCCAGACAGCGACACCAAGACGGAAACGACACAAACTATAGAGAGTGCGCCAGCCGGTGTGACGTCGTCGTCGATGTCGTCGTCGTCTTCGTCGGCCAACGGTGTTTCCCGGGCGAGTGTCACGGTCGTCGAGACCAAGGACGGCCAGACGACCACGACCACGACCACGACGACCACCTCCAACGCGCCCACCGACCGCTTAACGTACAGCTACGTCTTTGTCGGCCACGACCACGGCCAGACCCCCAGCGGCAACCGCGACGAGTACCTTGTGCAGAGGCCGTTTACCAGCGGCACCAGCGGCACCAGCGGCACCAGCGGCCGCGCAACAGCCACCTCGTCGAATGGCACTGCCTCCGCGTCTGCTTTTTCGTCGTCGTCGTCGTCGTCATCGTCGTCGGGCGGCCACTTCATCTGGGGCGGCGGCCGGCAGCGTGCCTCCAACGCCGGTGTCGGAGAGTGGCGCGACGACGAGGTCGAGGCGCCTGTGGCCGGCTACCTGCGCTCCCACCTGGCGCCGGTTCTCGCTGTCGGCGGCGACAACAGCCGGGGCGAGCCGCCCGCGCAGCTCGAGGCCGACTTCGAGTGGACCGGCATCATGGGCTTTTCGCGCGATGCGAACCCGTGGGTCGGGCACGTGCCGAGCAGCGAGAGCGGCGGTGACGGTCTCTATCTGGCCGCCGGCTTCTCGGGCCACGGCATGCCGTCCACGTCGCTGTGCGGCCGCGCCGTCGCTGGCATGGTCAAGAGGCACCTGGGGTGGACGACGTCTTCGTCCTCGGACAGCCATGCTGCGAGCGGCGGCGACGACAATACGCACAGGGACAAGGTCGTCGTATCCCTGCCCTTGAGCGACGGTGGCCATGCCGAGCTGCCTCGCTGTTTTCTCCTGACGCCAGAACGCATTCTGGAGGCGCGGAGGACGTGCCAGCCTGTTAAGGAGGCCGATGCTCGTGGCTTCTTGGCCGAGCTCCAGCATCTCCTCGCCGCTCGTCGGGCAGAGCCGTGAGATGTGTTTCCTTGGGGGCATACGTCAGTATCCGAAACGCAGCAACACAGCAAAACAGCAAACAACACAAATCTCATAGCAATATCGTACACTGGATAGCTGTCTGCCGAAACCAAGAGTCTAGAATACACAGAAATACAAAATTGCCAAGCGAAAACTGCAAAAATCGTTTCCAAGTGCCCATACCATGCCAAGTAACAGGATCCAATTCCTGACACCAAGAGAAACAAAAAAAATCAAAAATTAATGCCACAGAGCTTGTGCATCTGTGCGTGTATTCGTTGACGCGTTTGTGTGCATGTCGAGGCGTCGTCTTGCGCCGCATGGCCGTTCTACTTCGTCTCGCATTTCCTTTATAAAACAAAACGCCAGAAAAGCCCCAGGCCGACGTCTTGGAACACAAAAAATTGCAGATGAACCCCGCCAAACCAAATGTAATGATAGCGTGTCTGTAAAATGTAAACAAGAAACGGCGAGAACAGTCGAACGCGGCAAGGAAAGAATGGGATACGTGAACACGGCGTGAAGCCGAAGAAAGAGTCGTAGAGAATCAAAAGAACGCCCCCTCAAACACTCAATGTGTCACGATCCGTGCTGCCTGCAGCATCAGTCCAAAGATCAGACCCCGTGCCACCTCCTCGACCTGAAGGCAGTCGAAGATCCGGCCCAGCGCATCGGACGTCGCCGACTGGCCCATGACGCCCATCAGCGCCGCCGGCACGCCGCTGCGGATCAGCAGCCGCCGCGCCTTGACCCGCAGCCTCTCCTTCTCCTCTGCCGTCATCTCCGCCGGCCACGCTGCCCGTTCCGCGTCCGTCGGCATCGTGTTCTCGCGCAACGTGTTAAGATACCCAGCCATGCCGGCGTCCGTCGTGTTGGCGTCGAGCACCGACGACTGCAACAAGCTCTGGATCGACGCCAGAGACGGGTTGCCCGGCCGCAGCAAAAACGACTTGGCGGCCGTCAGCAGCGTGCGCCGGATGTTCCAGGCCGACGAGAGCGTGTACAGCTCGTTGATCACGGCAAACAGCAGCTCCACGGCCACGCGCGTCTCGCCCTCCGTCAACGCCGCAAACTGCTTGGCAATCGTCGTGCCGGACGTGGCCACGCGGTGCAACGGGCGCGTCCCGTGCGGTGTCGTTGCACCAGACCCAGACCCAGCGCCGCCCGCCGGCAGGCTCGTCAAGTTGTTGGATGAGCCGACACGCACCGGCGATGTCAACGACGAACCAGGCATGTCTTCTAGAGCGTCGGTGGCAAAAGCGGAGGTCGCACCCATTGGAAGACGGGTTCCGCTCAGGCTCGTACTCGAGGGCGAGCGCGGGTAGCCGCCGCTCGACGAGGCACGGCTGTTGTGCTGACTGCCGCGGCTGCCGCTGCTGACTGGTGCGTAGTCACCCCACATGTTGTTGCTATTGTTGTTGTTAGTCCGGCCGCGCCCGTCGGCGCCGGCCTCGCCTACCTCGCCGTTCGCTCCAGCGTCCATGAGACCGCTCTGCGACTGGTAGCTCATACGCCGACCCATCGGCACAACGCGGCCGGTCTGCGACGCTACAACCGACGACCGTTGGCTGTCCATGCTGTCGCGAGAGCGCCGCGAGCCCGCGCCGGAGAAGCCACTATCCATACGGGGTGGCGTCGAGACCGACAGCCGATTCGTGTACGCCGTGACGTCTTGCAGGACCGAGGCAGGGGGCGACGTCGTCGCGCCGCCGGGACTGGGGCTGCCCGCTACATTGGCCAGCGAACCCGAGCTGGCGTGCTGCTTCTTCTGGCCGCTGCTGCCGCCAAGACCGATGTTCGTGCCCAGGTTGCCCAGGTTGCCAAACACGCCCGTAACGCCGCCTACCATCACCTTGCCACCTTCGGCCACGCCCTTGGGCGCGTTGGACAGTGCGTCCAGCATGTTCTTGCCCATGGTTTCGAACGCATTGAGTCCCGTCTTGGAAGCCGCCGGCATGTTGTTTGTGTCCTTTTCCAAAAACCGCTTCATGCCCTCGCTCTCGGCCAGTGGCTGGTACCAGCAGGCATCGCGCACATAGCGCTCCAGCTCGCCCCGCAGCGAGCCGCGCGTGTGGATCTTCCAGTTCGGGAGCACGCCGTGCTGCTCGGTAAACGCCGTGGCGCCCGAGATCGTCGCAATGCGCCGCAACACCTCGTGCAGCTTCTCAAAGTCCGCGTACTTGCGCACAATCATCCAGCCCGGGTAGTGCGCGTTGGCCGGCTCGATCTGGATCAGAAAATCCCATGCGGGCCGGCTCTTGATGCGTCCCTTGTCCGTCACCGGCTCGTCATGAATCGTGACGTTCGCGTTGTGGAGCGTCAGTGGCGGTGGTGCCTGCTCCTGTTTCTTGCGGCCCTCCGAGTCGCTCGACTCATCCTCTTCGCGCGCCGGCGGAACGAGTTGGTCGAAGCTGGTGAACTGGGAGGCTTCGTCGGCGGTCGACGGGTGCGGATTTTCTGTGTTCTCCGAGCCGTTCGCGGCTGTTCCGCTGGCGGCCTCAGACTTGGCAAAGGACGATTGGCTCGGTGACCCCTGGGTAGACGACCGTGGCGTGATGGGCGTCGAGACTGTTCTTGCTGTGCGCGTCGTGCTCTCGTCACCAGACAGACTGAGAGACGCTTTGGGAGAGATCTGGTCAGAGGCGGCACTGGGTGACGGGGGCCCGTGTCCGTGGTGGTCTTTGCGTTCGTCGTTTGCTTGGATGCCAAGCTCGTCTGCATTGTGCTGCATGGCGTCCGCCAACCTGTCTTCGGCTTCGGTAGCACTCTTGGTCTCCGTGGTGGTGCGCCGCGCCTTTTCTTCAGCGGCAATCATCTCATTCATGCGCTTCATCTCCTCCATGGCCTCCTCCATTTCCTCGTCAGCCCGGCTGAGCTGCTTCTTGTGTGACAATGGCACCGACTCCTTGCGCCTCGATTGGTGTGCCTTGTCCGCCTCAAATGAGCTGCGCCGGCTCTTTGGCAGCGCAATGTTGCCGACGTTGCCGTCAATGTCGATCGAAGCATGGTGCATGTGGGCCGTGGCGGAGTTGCTGGTTGCGTCTTTGCTGCTGCTGGCTGTCGCCGCGGCATCGGTGCGCGTCTGCATGCCCACATCGATGGCCTGGCTGAAGTCGGGCTCGCCACCCTCCAGCAGGTGCACAATCCAGCCGTTGATCCATTCGGGCTTGGAACAAGTCTGCAGCGTCGTCTCCAGCACGGAGGTGGCCGCAATCTCCCGGAGAAACGTCCGTGCCGGGTCGCAGTCGTAGCATTGCCGATCCAGGAAGCTCAGCAAATCGTCGGCTACCATGCGGAACTTGCTCGCCTGCTGGCGCTGGCTCAGCAGGTTGGCCAGGTTCGAGTTCGGGTTCGACGCAAGGTAGCTGTAGATGGCGTCGGCAGCAGATATTGTGGGGTTGGCATCGGGCCCTTGGGGCGGTGCCGAGCCCTGCTGTTGCGGTGTCTGTGCCGCATGCTCGGCAAATGCCGTGGCCAATTCGGAGAAGAGGACAATGACAATCGACGTGGAGTTGGTGAGGAAGTCGAGGAATGCGTCGGCGGGGCGTTTACGGCTGAGATGGTTCGAGACCGACACGAGAAACGAGGTAAGGACGCGCCGGCAGGACAGCGGGAATGACTGGTCAGACGGTACAATGGGCTGGTACCACCACTTGACATAGTCGCGGACAACCGCCTCGACAAGGCCATTCAGAGCTTGACGGGTCTCGGGGCGGAAATTCTCAAAGGCGCGGCCGAGGGCCAGGTCTTCCTGGGCAGGGTCAAAGGCAGCCTCGGCGCCCACGCTCTCGCCGCTGACCTCGTCGCCGTTCTCCTGGTCCTTCCTGCGGTATTCAATCACCCGGGCGAGCAGGTCCGAGCTGGCCTCCCCACGGATAGCACGGGTGACGTCGGGATTGCGTGCTTCCCATGCCACAAAAAGGGCAATGCCGCCAAAGGCGCCGATCAGGACGAGGCCCACGCGGCCGAGCACAAAGTAGGTCGTTGCAGCGAGGCCGACGCCGACGGCACTGAGAGACTCGACAGTCGCTGTAGAGAGGAACCGGAAGATCCGGGTAGGGATGTCGTCGTCGGAGGCTGTGCTTCCTGGCTTCGTGTTCGGCGATGGGGACTGTGGAGAGTTCGGTAACGGCGAGGGAGGAGCGGAGAGAGATTGGGACGCGAGGTTGGGTCGTTGTGGGAGTGGCGGCGACGATACTGGAGAGAGGCCAGAGGGCGACGAAGAAGCGGCAAAGGTTGGTGAAGCAGAATCGAGGGACAAGTCTCGATCCGGGTCGTTCACACTAATCTTGCGATCGTCCATGGCGGTGACGAGACAGAGTGCATCTTCCTGCCTCGACGGCGAAGCAGGGCAAGGCAGGAGGGTGCAGCTGTCGTGTGTCGTTCGTATATGGAGTGATTACTCGTAAGTCTGGATCTGTGCGTCGAGTTGGTGGACACGGCTGGGTAGGCGGTAAAAATGGAAGCTTAATTGAGGCCAAATGAAAAAGTTGGTGATAATGTTGAAAACAGCAAAACAAATGAAAAATGTGCTCAGAAGAAAGGAGAACAATACAAGAAAGGCAATACGATGTAACAAGCCAGGGACAAGATGCTGGCAAAAACAAACTGCGAAATGAGGACGGCCAAGAAGACCAGGGAGAGTGAGAGTCGACAGGGGGTCTGGGGCGCTGCTGTGGGTAACAATAATGATGTGCGTTGCCCCCCCGTGTTTCGAAGCCCGAACGGGAGAATTGGCGATTCCTTGGGAGTTTTCGTGGGAGCTTGGGTCCTTCCATTGCCTACATTCGTACTTGTTTCCCCTTTTGCGAACAAGCCCGGGGTCCGGAAAGAGCGAAGGGTGTGAGAAAACCTTGCCTTGTTTCCATCGCACTTGCCTGCGATGTATGCGTGGGCTTCGTATGTCTTACACGCGGCAGGCGCAAGTCCAGACCACTTGCCCAACTTACCCACTTGCGGCGAGTCGTGCTTTCTCAACAACTTGCAACAGATTCGCTGATTCAGGGGCGCTCTGGGCAGGACCCAATGGCGGGCAGATACGCGCAACAGCCCGTAACAGCTTCATTCCAGATTACGCAGTGATTAGGCCACCCGCACGGCGCTGCAGCGTATCTTACACTTTCCTGTTTCGGGCAGAGCGACCCCGTATTACTGCGCAATGACAGCGCACGAAAGTCCCAAAAGGACAACCACAGAAAGACACACAGACAACCGCTTCACTTCTGAAGCAGGCGGAGGAAACAGACGATCCCTGGCTCGGATCCTCTCGTCTCCAGTCGCATTCCGTGAATCGTTTGACAACGTTTGCCGGCAATCGGGGAGATCCTGTCACAAAATGGAGCCCAGAAGCCATCACGGGTGCTACAGTGTGCATTTACTTAGTGAATAGTTAATACTGTCTGATGGTCGCAAAAGGGCAAGAGCGTTCAACATAAGGCTCTCCAAGTAAAAAGGACGACTCTTTACGACATATAAACAGCAGCCGGCTTTCGCCAGGCAACAATTCCAACTTGCTCGCTTATTGTCGTCTATGGTGCCGCTGGCTTATGCGGATAGGGCTCATTGGGGCTCTGCAATATTGTTGAACCAATATCTGACGAACTTTTCATTTAAGAGAATTTTACGATAATGAAAATAATATGGCATCCCGATACAGTGTCAGAATACAGTGCGTATAATTGCTAGGGGCGTTCGTCCTCCTTTCGCGTCGCGCCTGCATTCCATCGATAGCGCGCTCACTGAGCCCACCCCGCTAAAGATATGGAATACAGCACATAATTGCCAGGCAAAGCGGGCGCCAGTTTAATACTCAGCATATGCTGTGCTAGGTTCCACAGCGTTCATTATCGCCCTATATCGACTAAATGCAGCAAATGTCGCCTCGCGTCCATTATTACCCGCCACTGCCGCTGCCGCAGGGACCGCTAACAAGGAGGCAGCTGCCAGAGCCTGGGGTCTGCCAATAGCGCCTTCCAACACAGTGAGACTGCCTCCTGCTCCTTGGGTCCTGCTCCCGCTGCTTCCCCGCCCGCTGCCCTGTCCATCGTGGCTTCCCCCACCGCCGTCTCAATTCCGAACCTGCCCTTCCACCAACCAGTCGCCACCCTTTCATCCCAATTCGCATCGTATCCCAAGTGGGCAACAAATCCCCTTCTGCCTCAATTTGCCTGCCCACCATCGCACCCTTGCACCGAGTCCGAAGACGTCCTCCGATTACGCTGTCTACGGTGGCCGGCACCCCGACCCAACAAGCAAACAGCCACGATCCTGCTCGCCCCGCGTTTCCCGCCCACACTCGCACCCCGCCGCCCTACGTTCCAAGACACGGACCACACACAAAACGGCAATCCACTTTCCACATTCCACCTCCACAGCGTCAACAACCCGAGGCAACACAAGCACAAGCATACTCCGCCGCTGCATCGACGCCTCGCTGAAACGCCCTCGGCGAACGATACAAATTAACGCATCAACGCATCAACGCTGACCAGCGGCAATCAGCAAACGCCGGCTGCCACACCTCGCCACAGACTCGTGCCGTCCGTCGCCGCGCGTTGCGATCATGGGCCCCAGCCGGCTCGAAGACGAGGAGCTGTCCATCTCGCTGCCACGTAATCAGAGCCGCCGGTCGCACGCCGCGCTCGCCGCGGCTGGTCAGGGTGGACACGCCGCACCGCCCACCATCAACGTCGTCGACCATGGCGCATCATCAGCACAAGGGGGCGCCGCGGAGGCGGCGGGTGCTGGTGCCGGCACGGGCTCTGGCAAGAGCAAGGGCAAGTCCGGCTCGCACCATCTGCCCGACCGCATCAAGTCGACCGATGCACGGCTCGACCAGTACAACGTCGTGCGCACGCTGGGCGAGGGCTCGTTCGGCAAGGTCAAGCTGGCCATCCACAAGTCCACGGGCCAGAAGGTGGCCCTCAAGATCATTTCTCGCAAGAAGCTCATCAGCCGCGACATGACGGGCCGCGTGGAGCGCGAGATTGAGTTTCTGCAGCTGCTGCGGCATCCCCACATTATCAAGCTGTACACCGTTATTAAGGATTCCAACGACATCATCATGGTGTTGGAGTACGCCGGCAGCGAGCTGTTCGACTACATTGTGAAGAAGGGCCGCATGGCCGAGCCCGAGGCGCGCCGCTTCTTCCAGCAGATGCTGTGTGCTGTCGAGTACTGCCACCGCTACCGTGTGGTGCACCGTGATCTCAAGCCCGAGAATCTGCTGCTCGACGACAAGCTCAACGTCAAGATTGCCGATTTCGGCCTCAGCAACATTATGACCGACGGCAACTTTTTGAAGACGAGCTGCGGCAGCCCCAACTATGCCGCTCCCGAGGTCATCAACGGCAAGCTGTACGCCGGCCCCGAGGTGGACGTCTGGAGCTGCGGTGTCATCTTGTATGTGCTGCTCGTCGGACGCCTGCCCTTTGACGACGACCACATCCCCAGCCTGTTCGCCAAGATCGCCAAGGGCGCATACATCCTGCCGTCATGGATGAGCGCCGGCGCCGCTACGTTGATCAAGAAGATGCTCGTTGTCAACCCCGTGCAGCGGGCCACCATTGACGAGATCCGCCAGGACCCGTGGTTCTTGGTGGACCTGCCCGACTACCTGCGCCCGCCCGCCCAGCCTTTCTTCAACACGGGCATCGACCCAGAAAAGTCCATTAAGACGAGCGACATTGCGCCCAACGCGTCCACCAAGGTACAAGAGAAACTGCACAACGAAGTCACGGACAAGATTTCCAAGACCATGGGCTACGGCAAGAAGGACGTACAAGAAGCCCTTGAGGCCGACGAGCCTTCGGCCATCAAGGACGCCTACATGATTGTTCGCGAGAACAAGTTGATGCAGATCAACCGTGAGTTTCAAAACGATACTTGGAAGAGAGCACGACACACAGGAAGACATGGGAGCATACTGACAAACGCGATAGCCAATTTTGGTGCCGACAACCCGTACTTTGCGACATCGCCAACATCGGGCAGCAGTTCCGGGTCCAACTCCATTGCAGCCGTGGTGTCCGGCAGCGGCGAGCTCGACCCGGGCTCCAGCCCGCTCGGCATGTCCTCCGGCCGCTCGATCGGCTCCAACAGCACCGGCAACTCGCCACGGCCGCACGTATCAAAAGTGGGCGTGCTGCCGAGCAGCTTGCCTGCCTACCACAAGGACTACATGGCTGGTAACATCAACGCCGATGTGGTTCCTGCACCCAACGACGCGCCGCCTGCGCCCGCGCGCACGCTGGCCGAGCAAGAGGAAACGGCCCGCCGGCTGCGGCCCCACTCGCGCAGCCAGATCCGGCTCGACGAGTCTAGCAAACGCCCGCAGGGCATGACACCCGTCAACCCGCCCAAAAAGTCCAAACCCGTGCGGTGGCAGTTTGGTATCCGCTCACGCAACGTCGCCTGGGACGCCCTGCTGTGCATCTACAAGGCGTTAAATCGTCTAGGCTGCAGCTGGGTCGTTGACGAGGACTTTGACAAGTACAACGACGACGAGGGAGGGTATGTGCACCCTTTCCTCTCTCTCTCTCTCTCTCTCGCTCGCTCTTCTTTTTTAATGACTAACATTCTATAGCAGCACAAGGGGCGGCGACGACAGCTACGACGACGGCTACGGCGGTTCTCTGCGACGCGGCAGCCGCGATGACGTCACCAAGAAATACCGCCTGCCCGCCGACCCGTGGCACATCCAGGTGCGCTGGACGACCGAGGGCATCCGCCAGTCCGCCGTCAAAAACAACGCCGCAAGCGCCGAGGACGTTGCCGCGGACAAGACGATGGTTCACAAGACGGACGACGACAGCCAATACCAGGTCGTGGCCGTGCGCCTCGACATCCAGATCTATGCTATGGAGCCGTCTGTGTACCTGGTCGATTTCAAGTGCAACGGATACGAGACTGCCGAGGGCTTTACCCTCGAGGAGAAGGAAGTGTCGAGCGCGTTCCCCTTCTTGGACCTGGTGGCGAAGCTCATTCTGATGTTGGCAGACGGCGAATAGGCTGGCACTTGCTCTTAGCCGTCCCTGCGATTCCCAGCATGGCGTTGCATCGTCCGCCCTTTTACAGTTCCATTTTAATCTTCCATTTTCATGCTCTCATCCCGTTTAGACTAGACTTGCGTTGTGTCGTTGTTTGATTGGTTTCCTTTTCACCTGCCACTATTCGGATGGCATATTTCGACGGAGAAGGTGCCGTGGTGCTCGCTCTTGTTTTACGCGTCATTTGACGGGAGAGATTGGCCTTTCTTGTATCACGGATCTTTTTAAATACCCCAGATAGAAGTGGCCGGGGAGCCGTTTACTGTACGATTGTCGGTATCGGCGATATATCCAAATGTCAAACATCTTACCAAGCCGTGGCTCCTCTCAGTGGTGGTGCTTTGTTTCAACAGGGTTCATCACATTTTCGTGTTCTGGCTCATATCAACAACGCTCAATACGTATACTCCCAAAAAGCACTTGCAAGTTTCCAAAACCCGTCAACTCTTTTCCACTGCTCTACGCCCGCTGAATCTCCCACTTCATACCCTGGATGCTGACCTCCTCGCCGGCTTTCTCGTCGTAGTCGAACCAGTCGTCCGTCAGGTCGATGCCGGCAAATTTTGTGCTGGAGTCGACACCCTCGGCCAGCCAGTCGCCCTCCGGCTTGAACTCGACAAACTCGAGGCCGCGGCAGTCAAACTCGAGAATGTTCTGCGGCTTGGCCGGCTCAGCCTGCTCGTAGGGCTTGGCACCAGCCTTGATAGAGGCCGTTGATTCTCTCTGTTTGGCGTCAGAACTTTGCCATTTTTTTTTTTTTTTTTTTTTTTTTTTGTTGTGTGTGTGTTTGCTCGTAGTCTCCAGCTTACCTTGCAGTTCTTGCACTTCCAAACAAAGTTGGCCTCGCCACGGCTACCACTCATTTCATTTTGTTCCTGAGGCTGTCAGTAAAGCCTCAAGCTGTGCTTCCATCTACCCTTTCTCAAGAATTCCGCCCGGGACGGAATCAACGTACAAAACGGCTCACGCCGACCCAGTTGGCATGCGTCTCGCGGCAGGACGTGCACTGGACCTTGAATGTGTACCAGAACGGCATGTCCTCCGTGTCTGCCGGCCGCAGATTTGTCACCCTGGCTACAGTCAGTCGAGTGTCCTGGTATAAATGGGCTTTCTCAACATCCTCGACGCCATGATATTCGTTTAGTAAAACACCGTTGCGGCAGAGACACATACCCCGCCAACTCCGCCGTCAGTGTGAGGCTAAACATTACGTGCGGAATGAGAGTGCCGTCGTTCGATGCGGATATGCCGTCGTCTGTAGGTGCCGTCGTCGAGATGATATACGAAGGCGGTGTTTTTGTTCGCGTCTCGTTTCAGCAGCTATCGACTTGGAAGCTTCCCCCTTAGATGCGTTTCCGTCTGCACCTGCCTCTGAGCTTCGCTGAGACACAAACGCGGAAGGAACGAGGCTAGCGGCACAATTTTAGCGCACTTCTGGCTACGGCAAAGTCGGCAGCAGGCCAGCAGCGTGCTGGGAAGGAGCGCCCATTCACAAGCTCAACCCCACACCTTCCCTGCGAAACACACTGTAGCCGCAACGAGCACACCCTAAGCTCGCTTCCGTTTTAGTGGCATGATCTGAACAAAAACGAGCATCCGTCTCCGACGACACTCGAAAAAACACGACTCGCACGACACACCTTTCCCCCTCCCCTCTTGGAACCGCCGCCAGCCCGACACTCGCCAATTGGTCTTGGCACCGACCTGACGAGCGAGTCATGCACCCACGATGCGCAATTTACGGTCATGGGCTCCGCAGAGCAGCATCTGCCACAGCTGCAGGCGAGAATGGCTTCGACGCAGCACTGAGCGTCGCGTGCCAGCTGGCCACGTGCTGGCCCGGGGCGTGCGGAGCTTCCACGCAGACGCAATGAGTGGGAGAGCCTCTTCGGGGGTTCTCGTCATGGCGGCATCTCCGTCTGGGACACGCGCAACGGGCACTCGTCTTGCCCGGCGAGCGAGGCGAAGGTCCGGACCGCATGACAACATTTATGCCGCTTTCTACACCACCATCATGGCCACTGTCGCTGCGGCCGACGCGGGGCGAAAGGTGCGGCAGCGCCGAGATCAGGGACAGCGTCTCGACGATGCCCGCCAGGAACTGCTGCGCATCCTGCACGACCCGTCGCCGCTGGACTACAACCTGACCAATGGCCTGCCGCCGTCCTCCGTCGATGAATGGCCGCCATCGGACAACCCGATAGTACCTGCACCGACAATCGACAACACACCAACAACAACCTCGCGAAACGCTGTGATTGAGGCTATCAAAGCTATCTGTGTGCCACCCGCCCAATTGCGTCGGCATGCGGCCGATACAAAACAGCGCGAGGCCTACCTGACTTGGCTGCACGCCCAGTTCGGCATGCGGCGGCGCTGGTGGTCACCGCGGCCTGCGTTGGACGCAGGGCTCGAAAACTTGGCCGAGGCCCTGCTGGAAGAAGAAATTGCGACGCAAAATACCTTGTTAGAAGGCCAGCGCGAGCCACAGAAGGCCGTACACTTTGCAAAGATGACAGAGGCCACGAACCGCCTCGTCGACAGCCTGATCATCGAGGGCCACCGTATCGGGAGCTTCGACGACCCCGTGGCCCAAAAGAGGTCCATGGAGAGCCTCGAATCGCCCTGGCACGCCATGCGAATGCTGCGCTCCGACGGCTACCCGAGTTTTCGGCTGCCCAACCTCGACCCCGCCGCCACGACTGCCGCCCGCCGCGAAGCCAACGAGGCCGCGCGCAACATCTTCCGGACCTGGTCCCAAGCGCGGATCTACGGCCGTCCCCGCGCTTCGGCATTGCAGATGGCCATGGGACGCACGCAGAACGTGACCCCGGCTGTCTGGAACGCCAAGGAGGTCAAGTTCTGGGTTGCCAAGCTGTGCTACAACATGCTCGTCAGCAGCGCACCGCCCGGCATCCACAACTACAACACGCTCATACTGGGCTTTATCAGCGTCGGGCAGCACACGCTGGCGCAGCTCGTTGCTGACTCTTTGTTGTATGACACGCGGCTGCTGCCCACACAGCAAACGCTGGTCTGTCTCCTGCACCAGGCGCGCGCACAGGGTGACTTAGTCGGCTTTCACCGCGTGCTGCGACGCATCGTAGCCCTGGATCCGCGCGGCGTCAAGATCCGCCGCCGCGCCACCCCCGACGTCGCCCGCTACGGCCTCCACCGCGAGTGGGCCCGCAACCACGACGTCAACCTGGCTTCGGGCTATGTCGTGCAGCGAGCCGATGTCGACGGTCCCGTGGTCGAGGCCACCATCTGGGGCTTGCTCTCGCTGGACCAGGTGCGCCACGCGGCCGTGGTCTTTTCCACCTACCTCGACGACTGCACGCACATGGACGCGTCTACGCTCAACTCGGTGCTCGACCCGGTCCTGGACGCCGTGGACATTCCCGGCGCCCGCGTGCTTCTGCGCGGCTTTTCCAAGAACGCCAGTATCGTGAACAGGGTGCTCCTGAGCGAAACGCGCTCGGCGGAAAAGCTGGCCATGCGCATCCGCATCCTACTCGCCATAGCAACCGCGCCCGAACCCGCACTACGGGCCCAGCCGAAACAAGAGCCTCTGCGGCCACGCCAACGGCAGGCCGTTGTGACGCATGCCGCATCGGAAGCGGCGGACGACGAGCTACAGGAAACTACGCCGGAGCCGGGGGTAGAGGACGAGGACGAGTATTGGGCCGAAGAGGTGGACGGATACGTGGAGCCCACGTACGACAACAACCCGGAGCTCGCCTACGCAAAGAACCTACATGCGGACGGCAAGCCGCTATCCAAGTCGCAGATCCGCATGCTTAAGCAGTTTGACGCCGCCACGGCTGCGTCCCGTGAAGTGGACATGGCAGCGGAAGAACAACGACTCGAGAGCCAGCGGTGGCTAGACAGAGCCGCAAAGAATATGCACAATGGTACAGGCTACGGCTACGGCTGCGTCTATGGTGGGTACAGCAGTGGCGCCGACCAACTGGCCGCCGCCCTGTTCGTGGCAGAAACGAACGTCTACCTCATGCGCCTGTCCAAAGTCACAGACGCCGTACAAAAGGCCATTGACGCCTACGAAGACGAGTCTGCGCTTGCGGACCGCGCCGACGGCTGGTCGTCGCGCTTGGAAAGTCTGATCAACGTCCCACAGAGGCAGCGGCATGAACAAGAGCAATACCGCCGCATGGCCCGCCTCAAGGCCGTCGACCAAACCACCGAAGCCGTGCTCTCGTCGTGCTCTCATATCATGGAGCAGTTTATGGAAACCGTCACCGCCGATCTGGCGGCGACATCCGCTGCCGCGTCCGCTGCCGAGGCGGCTGCCGCGTCCGAAGCCCTGCAAATCAAAACAAACTACTCATTCCTGTCCATTCTCAGGTCTTTTTTGAACCGCACCGGCTTGCCCTTTGGCGTGCGCTTGGCGGCGTACTTGTCGACTGCGAAAACTTACCAAGCGAACAAGTCTGACGCCGCGACCCAGGCTCATGCGGAGGAAGAGGCAAAGGCAGAGGCAGCGGCGGAACAGGCTGGCCATGCCGAGGCGGCACAGTGGCACGGGGCAGGGGCTGAGGTTGAAGCTGGTTGGTCGGACAATGGCTACGACCACAATTACGCTGGAAACTACGACTACGACTCCTATGACGACCCTGAGCGCAACCCCGATCGCGACTCCGATGAGGAAGTGGTGGCGCCCATGCCACCCTCACTGCTGCCGTTCTCGCTCTCGCCGTCGCTCGCGCAGCAAACAGCTCTCCTCGAGCGCCATGTAACTGAAGACATGCCCGCTGTCACGTCCCTTTACGAGAACCAGCTCAAGGAGATCCTGCTGCAGGCCATCTTCCCCATCGCCGACAACAGCCGCAATAGTCTGGAGAAGACCTTTGCGCTGCGACGCGCCGCCCTCGACATGACACTTGACGCTCTGATGGAGGCCCGCCTGCACCTCATCGAGTACGGCGCCACTATTGTCATGGAAGAAGCGCCAGCCCTGGCAATTACAGATGGAAGTGAGACGCATGCCGACGGCGTGCGCTGCGAGTCAGAGATGGCCGACGAATTGACAGCCACCGAGTCTACGAGAGAAGGAGACAAGGATGCGTACGGTAACTTTCGAGTAGGCGCCGTCATATCGAGTTGAGGGCAACTGACATGCCACATTTGATCGTACGCACGATACCATAGAATATTAGAAGTACTTGCACGACATACATACCTGAATAGAGAGCCACCCATTCCATGGAGTGGAACCGACACCGGCACATGACAAGATGCACTGGACGTCTTTTCATTTTGAATTTGATTTTGAATTTGATTTTGAATTTGCCTCCTCACACCCACCGCTAAGGCTTTTCGTCCCTCAAACAATGGCACGAGACCCTGCATACACTAGCGTCAGGAACAGTATTGGAAAAAGGACCACGGAAACCCGAAAGACGGGCAGCCCCTAACCAAAGGCGGCCGAAAGCGGGTAGAGCTTGCGAGCAGCTGGACAAGACGGAGTGACCTGTCAAGGCAGCAGGCAGCAGGACCGACCCGAAAGAAACCTGGTGACGCGCTGAGGGCTCTGCCAGCAGCCACAGAACCGGCAGAGCGGCCAGGCCAACAGCACATTCGAGCTCGTGACCATGGTCAAGTGACAGTTGAGCATTTCCGGCGCTACGACCAAAGGAAGGGGACGGGGCGTTCCAGACAACAGAGAAGGCATGGAAAGGGTCGACTCAGTTTCGCGGCTGCTCTTTCCCTTTGCGATTTTGCTTGGCAAAGCTGATGCCTTTCTCTCCTTCCCCTACGAAGCGCGGATAGAGCGGTGTGTCTTTTTGTGTGTACTATGTAAGATATGACATAAAACGGCTTTGCCAAACGGGAAAGTAGGCACACGACGCACGTCTTCAGTAGGCTAGTGCCGCAGCGAACAGGGTTGTGCTCGTCGGAGGAGGTCATGTGCTGTTCCGCGGCAAGCCAATAACTTACACGCTTTGTATATCACATATTCACGTGCTGCATAAAATCTCTTCTGATAATCGCATGAAGACACGGCAAATTCTTACGCCATCCTTCTGGAAGGACTTATCAACGCTCTTTCCTGTTTGCTCTATGAATGCGCCCTTTCCTAATTGAAAGGCATCGTGTGTCTTGGTGAGCAAAGGAAGGTACAATGCAGGTGAAAATTCAGGTTGAGCCAGTGAGGAGCGGGGCCTGATCCACGGGACGCCCCTGCGGC